CAGTGGTAAAAATGGCCTTGTCCCAACTTTTTTGAGATGTGTTGATGCCATGAAATTTAAAATCAACTTATTTTTCCCTTAAAATTATGCATTTTCTCAGTTTAAACATTTAATATGTCATCTATGTTGTATTCTAAATATAATATTGAAATTTGAAACTTCCACATCATTGCATTCTGTTTTTATTCACAATTTGTACAGTGTCCCAACTTTTATGGAATTGGGTTTGTATATACCCCATTATGGTCTAAATATAAAAAGAGTGGGAAAGTTTAGCTAATCCTCATTTAGCTTCCACAGTTAGCGAGAATGTTTAAGGATGCTCATCCTCCGCAACACCATTATCATTCACCGCAACAATTGAAGGCCTGTTGCGGTGGAGATACTCAAGGTTTCGGTAATTAGAAACAGACTTATAAAGGAGGGAAGTGTACTATAACTCTTGCTCATTTCAATATAACTTGATATTTGCCTTAAACATTTCTTGAACAGATTGCGTAAACAATATAGCTATTACAACCCCCCAGCAGGAGTCACTAATTTTTATGAATGCAGTATAGACCACCTATTATAAATTTAATATTTAATTGTTTTATGGTGAAACAATGTAATTCTATGTCTTTTTTACGCAATGTAACATTCAAGATGGCTACTGTGTATTTTGTTACAGGCAAGCATCAGTTGAAAAGAAAAGGGCATCAGCGAAAGACAGGCTGGCAAAGCATAGGGAAAAAATATACAGCAATCCAGTGTTACTTGAAGAGTACAGAAGAAAGGAAAGGTCAGGGGACAGGGTGATAATAGGGAAATAATAGGAAAAAATATAACTTGAATTCCAACCAACACTTGGTTTTGACCAACACTTGCACTCACTCCCACACACCCATGCGCACAGAAACATAAGTACACACACACACACACATACACACGCACACACACACACACACACACACACACAGACATGCTAACGTGAAGGCTGACATAATTTCAGAGTATATATTGTATACACACTCTCTTTCACACACATCACATACAGACATGCATGCCCATAGTGTGTGCGTGCACACACTCATGTACATACACACTGATGCTGACATGCAAACGTGGAGGACATTTGCTGACATGCAAATCTCATTTCCGAAACATTGATCCTCATTACCGAAATGGCATTTTCATTACCGCAACATGTATCTTTTTTACAAATTAAGTAATAAATAGATAATCATATTTTGTTTTAAAATGTATATACATATTATACAACACTACTTATTTAAGGTCTGCTACATAAAAAATGCATATATTATCTTTTAGTAAAACAGAAATAAATTGTAAATCGTCACGCATGTTTCGGTAATGAGAGAAAACAAGGAAATTACAAAAAATAATAAATATGAAAAAGTAATCTCTTCGGTGTTTTACATAGCTTTGAGCATGAGTAAAAAGAGTCTACTTTAACATTACCCAAAAATACACATTTTTAACCATATATTTAATGTAATGTCATGTTGCGGTAATGATAATTTTTTATGGACTGTATATAGACCATTTCACAAGATGTAAACAACACTGGTCCAGAAGCACTTCCTGTTTCAGTTTGTAACTGTTTTCTTTATTTCACATGTAAAGAAAACATCTTAAAGTTGTTTGTTTAACTTTTTGATTCAGTGTTAAATGTTCTGTTGGTTGTATTTTATCCCAGCTTTTATGCAGTGTTAAAAAACTGAAACAGGAAGTGCCTCTGGACCAGTGTTGTTTACATCTTGTGAAATGGTCTATAAAAATGTAAATAATTATATAGGAAATCATTTTTAAAATCTTATAAAAATAATGGTTCTAGTAAGTTCAGACCTTAATCTTATATGTACAAAAATAAAATTGGCTTCAAGGGCATTTTTTAAATTCTGATGCTGGACTCCTCCTAAATCTGGATTTCGTGAGAATCACCCGGTGTGCACGTCGTGTGTGTGTGTGTGTGTGTGAGAGTGTGTGAGAGAGAGAGAGAGACAGAGGGAGAGCGGGGAAATACAACTGAAAGAATACGCTGCGTGTTTTAAATACTGTTAAAAACCGAAACGCAGTATGTTGCGGCGAATTAGTCTATGTGTGTGAAACACTGCATAAGTCACGTGCGAACTGCTCGGCTCGGCACTGACGGCTTATAGCGTCGAGTTTCTTAACGTTTAGCCGACGAAATCAGAGCCGTGGAGAGCCGCTTCGCCATGTTTTCATTTACCCCTTTTCCACCAAAAAAAGAACTGGTTCGGAACTGGTGCTGGTTCGGATTTGGTTTGGCTTCAGAACCTGTTTGTTTTTCCACTGACTAGAGCGCCCAGGGAACGACGTCTTTACGTCACTGTGCACGTCGCCATACGACTTAGCTAGAAACGCTTGCAAATACAACATTACTTCAGATTATCTCTAACTCGTATACATAGTTCCCACATGACGTCACAACATACGGGCATTTGCCGACCCGGCGCCATTGCTTAGGGCAAAACATAAGAAGAAGCAATACGAGTTGAACGAAGTGAAATGAGTTTCGTGCTATAAAGTGAAAATGGTCATCTCCTGCTGAGTCAATGGATGATAAAATCGTGCCGGAGGTTCAGTTAAATCGGGATTTTACACTATATCCGTCATTAGACTCCATATGGATGTGAGAAGACTAAGCTTTTGTCCGAACAACGACGGAGATTATGGCTGGCGAGCATAAACAGGAAAGAAACTCACTCAAAACACGCAAGAATTTGTTTGACAAAAGCACAATGTTGTGTTTTATTGCGAGTGTAAATAAATATAAGTTAACACGTTGCAGTTTGAATAATGTCCTGTATGAACAAAATGACGAGGTATTAAAACACATACAAAACAACATTGTTTCCACTGTTTGATCTCACATTCCAGCATTGCAATCTCAGATTATGTCCCTAAAGATCCCGCGTATAATGTAGTTCCTCATTTATTACATTAATTAAATTGCACGCGAGTTATTTATTTTAATATTCATGCACCGAACCATGACGCCCGCAAGTACATGCATATTACAGAAATCACCGGTGACTGGGGAACATAGGAATTAAGTTGTGCAGGCTATGGCTTTTTAATAGACAGATTAGCATCATGCTACTTCGCTATGATGACTAAGTTACTTTTCCATTGATTGCACTTGAGCAAACGTCACCAAACAACCCCACGTCAATCTGATCGTACACCTCCAGTGATTTCCAGGCTTGGAATTGCTCACATGTGTAAAACTCCTCCCAATACCAGATAATTGTACACATGAAAATACTGTATCTGAGGCAAAGTTGCATAATCGGTGCTCAGTGCTTCTTTTGTTGCATAAGGATACACACCATTTATGAATGAAATTTTCGCATTGTACCTCTCTATGTCTTGTTTTAATAGTCTCTTTATAATCTATTACACTTTGTCTTTTCATGATTTGCATAACAATATAAACAGACATAAATATTTGTTTGTAAAACGACATTCTCTGATAAAACGTTGTAAACGCCTATGGTAAACACAGCGGTTTTGCCCTCAAAGATGGCGTCTCCGGGGAGGTCACGTGACAATTTTTTTGCCTGTGGGAACTATGTATACCAAGAAACCTTTAAAAACTATTGAAATATGTAAGTCTTTTAATCTTTTCGTTTGATATGTAATTTTTTTATGATAAGTTATGTTCTGTACCCCTGTAATTGTGTCTTTTTTTCTTTCCATTTATTTGTTCTATATTGTGACTTTTCTTCTTTGCTTATAATGTCTTCAATAAAAAAATTACAAAAATAGAAACGCTTGCGTTAACTTCAAGCAGAACAATTACAAAGGCGGACTCCATCGTGTTCTGCAAATGTTTCTCTTGGCTTTGCGATCCTTTATTATGGTCAGAAAAGATGTTTAGAACACATCTAAACCCGCCCTAGCCCCCGACGTAAGCATGACGTGGTTCTAGTCCAGCAAACAGTTGGTGCCGCTTTGGAACCAGTTCTCCTGGCCGAGAACCGGTTCTTTGGCTGTCAAAACACAAAGAACTGGTTCGCACGCAGGCACCGGCTCCGAACCGACTGCTTTGGTGGAAAAGGGGCTATTGTTTTGATTTCATCATTGGAGCTGAAATGACAGGTTGAGGGGTTTTTGTCGCCCAGATTTGCTTCCCCCGGTCTGCATTTTCACCAGACATACGTTCATCTCCCACACAAAAACAGAATTTCAAACCAAGTATAGAAAATTCCACGAAATTCCGCGTTAATACTAGATTCCGCGTTAATTGGCCAATTCCACGATTCCGTCCGCGATTTCGTTATCGCGGAAATCATAGGGCCCTAATTTATTGGCTGGAACAGTTTGTTATGTTTCGTGGAGCGGGTTGCCGCAGTTTGTTTTTGTTGCCATTTGTGGAGCCTGGGTTGTCTGCATTGACCGCGTTTTTTTACAGTGTGTTTAGGCACAGGCAGTTAGCGGATAGTGAGGAGATGCTTGCTGTATGTGACAAAAAAAATGTTTGGGCCTAAAAAACGTGTGACATCACTTAGAGCACCTTTAAATTTTGTATCGAACTTTAAACTGTTATATTATGAATTATGTGCAAACTAGTTTCAATTGTCAAGATTGACGTTTTATGGAAATACAATGTAGTTACAATCTATTCTATTTTCTCCTCTAAATTAGTTTATTTCTGTCATTGGTTTGCATTATGTTTGCTTGTGGATTTAATATCTGCACATACGTTGTTATTAGTTTTTTATTTCTATTTATTTATCTAATAGTTTGTCTTATACATTTTTTTTTGTCATGTAAACTTTTTTGACATGATTTTGATGTTTGATTTTTCATATATTGTGTCCTGATGTCTCAAAAATATAATGGGAAAACATTTGCACTTGATCATCTGCTTAATGAGCAACAACGACCACAATTCACTCCTTCAGTCAGTGAAGCTCCCACAGCCGTTCATGAGAGTTTAAATGCTGGGGAATATTCCCATCTTCCCACAGGAGAAGAAGCAAGCAGGAGGAATTATTCCAGGAGAAACTACGGACATACTATTGTAAAGATGGAGATTAAGGAAGAACCCTGCAGAATAAAAGATGAAGATACAGAGGAACAGATAGGTTGGTGTTTTCCTTCATTCTCTTTAATGACTGAAGAAGCTGAAAAAAACTGAAAAAAGGACTAAATGTTTTCCTTTATTGTGTCTAAATTAGTGTATTTATTATTGTAATTTCTTTATTTTAATTTTTGAAAACTTGATATTTTGATTTTAGAACCAATGGAAATGAACGAAGACAAACATCAGTTTCAAAAACCTCAGCATTTCAAAAATGAAGATGGAAACGCAGTCTTTCAACTGACCGAAAAGTATTTCACTCAAAAACGAGCTCGAAAAACTGGATCTTTTACCTGCTCTGAGTGTGGAAAGACTTGCACACAAAAATCAGGCCTTGAGAAACACATGAGAATTCACACTGGAGAAAAACCGTTTACATGCACTCATTGTGGAAAGAGTTTCACTCAGAACAGTAATTTCAGAGATCATCTGCGCCGTCACTCTGTAGTGAGATCATTCAGCTGTGATCAGTGTGATAAAACATTTGTTGTGGAATCAAACTTAAAAAAACACCTTATAGTTCATACTGGTGTGAGGCCTCACTTTTGTTCTTTTTGTGGAAAGAGTTTTTCACGACTACAACCTTTAAAAGAGCACGAGCGTATTCATACTGGTGTGAGACCTTATGTGTGCTTTGACTGTGGGAAGAGCTTCACTACATCCACCCACTTAAAAAAACACCAGAGAGTTCATACTGGGCAGACACCAAAAACAAGTGTTCACACTGTGGAAGAAGATTCACCGAATCATCTAGTCTATGATGTCATGAGAGGAAGCTTTGCCTGAAGTCGTCTCATCTAAGTGAACTAAGTTCACTTCACGTCCATGATTTAAAAATATTGTACTTACAAATAAATTGACATTCAGATTGATTTAATAGCGTGATTAAATCTACAGGTTAAATTAGTAGTGAAGTGTGAATCTGGTGATAGTTTGATTAAGAATTGGGCTTCTCTTTTCCCAACCGCTGTAACATGATTTATGATAAGATTCAACTTTCCAACAGTTGTTTTGCATTAAAAGATTTCTAATGTTTTTCTGGTGAACTGGTGAGATTCAATTTTTTTCTTCTGTTTTAGATTTAACGTTGTCCTATAATGTCCCTTTTTATCAAATGTAAAATCTGATATCAGATTGTGTATGTGAAGTTGTAGCACAGATCCTTTTTTATAGCATGTTAGAATTGTCACTTTATGAGTGTGCGAAAAAAGCCCTTTTTTGTGTGTCCTCTTAAATGCAAATGAGCTGCTGCTCCCGCCCACTTTCAATTATAAGGACGGGCTTCAAGAGCTCATGTGTTAACAGCCTCTTATGAATAAAACGGAGTCTCACAATGATGGAGAGACTCAAGAAAAAGTGACATGTAGAATGCAACTGAACATTAGTTGATGAATTTATGTAGCTGATGTGGAGTAAACTATCTTCAAGTGATTGGTAAGCAGATTTTGTCATGTTATTGTATAATTCGCTCTTGTGGGAGCTGTTGTAAGATGCCTATGAGCCTGAGAATATATGCTGCATGAAGATAGAACAGGTTTAGTTATGGTTGTAACTTGAGTTGTCATTGCTTTTATGACATGCTTTTGCTAAGAAACAAACCTTGTATTATTTTGCATGTTATCACTGTGAAGCTGCTTTTATACAATCTGTATTGTAAAATGTGTTTTATAAAGAAAGATGACTTGACTATTGTATTTGCGTGACATATAGTATTGCAATAAATGTGAAAAGCAGGGTGAGACAGCTTGAGCAGACTCACAACTGTGCTTTACGACAACAACTCTTCCTCTTCTCTAAAGCAGCCCAAAATGGCCTCACGCCCTTTATTGTGTGTTCCTAGGGCGGGGTTTGTGTAAGTTTGAGGGTTAGTGATGTCATCAACCCATGAAGAAGCTCGTTGTAGTCAAGTCACAATTATTTATAGCTTTAACGCTTTTTACATTACAGATTCCTTTAAAGAATTTTTACAGAGATAACAGAAATAATGCAACAAAGTTTGTTTCTTGAAGAAAAAAGCAGTTCAGTGATGGTTTGTTGTAAAAAAAAATGCTATTAATCTAGTTCATTTATTTAGCCACTCTGGAGAAAAACGTGATGTCATCAGTTTTCGTATATAGTGATGTCAATGCAGGCAGATCAATAATATTGTTTAATATGAAATTAAAAGTCCCCAAATAAGCAAGCTAAAGGCAACCGTGTCAAAGAACCCAAACTCCATCAGTGACAGAGAGGAGAAAAAATATTGGGAGAAATCAGACTCAGTCGCACTGTTCCCCTCTGGCCAACACCTGAACAGTGTATGATTCAGGCAGCATTACAGGTCAGAAGTCAGATTGGATCAGAATATTATCCATTTCCATCTGGTTTAATATCGGAGTCTTGCCGGTATGGAAAGGAGTTCGGAAAGGCTGTCATGTCGATGAGGCCTTCACAGGGGAGAGTCAAGTTGGCAATCTCTGCTGACACTACAGGGATGCTTTGAGGTCATGATCATCATTCATCTCGCCATCAGAACCGATCGTGGCAAGACCTACAGGGCCAGTTCCCATGCAACTGGATAATACCCATCTTGCTCATTTAGGGCGGCAGAGGATGCTGACCCAGGGTCTCTGTACTGTGGCGATGCTGGACACATCATTTCTGCCTGTCCCATCCGTCCACCACGACCACTGGTGAGTATCATCCATTATTCCTCCGAAAAAATGTAACTCCTCACTACCGAAGTCACACTTACTGCCTCTCAACTTTCGCTTACAGTACATGCCCTCCTCGACTCTGGGTCAGCTGGGAACTTCATCTCCAATTCCCTCTGCCACCAGTTCAACCTCCAGAAGAAATGCAACAAAGTTATATCAAGTCCAATCAATAATTGGAAAACTTCTCAACAAGAAAAGCGTACGATTCACTGTGGGACCTATCAAATTGCAAGTGGGACAACTTCACAGCAAATCCATCACTATCCTGGTTCTGGAGAATTCCACCACTGGTATTATTCTTGGGTGCCCATGGTTGGTACAACACAATCCAGATCTCTCCTGGACCATCTGGGAAATCCTGAAGTGGGGCGATAGCTGTTTCCCACATCTACCTCAACCCGTTAATCCACTCCAGTTAAACTCCATTTCCATCAAGAGCCGGTTGAAAGACATTCGACATTTTAGCCTGCTACGCCCCCTTCAGTGATGCATTCTGCCCCAAATAAGTGTCATCGTTACCACCACACCGGCCATGGGACTGCGCCATTGATCTCCTTCCGGATGAGCCAATGACCCACGGTAAGATCTATCCACTCTCACTTCCTGAACAGAAGATCCTGGAGGAGTACATTGGAGAGGTGTTCCAATAGGGCTACCTCTGCCCTTCCACTTCCCCTGCTGCATCAAGTTTTTTCTTTGTAACTAAGAAGGATGGAGGCTTGTGGCCCTTTATTGACTACAAAGTACTCAATAACATCAACGTCAAGTTCCCGTACCCACTTCCTCTTGTCCCAGTCGCTCTGGAGCAACTTTGTGGTGCAGCCGTGTTCACCAAGTTGGACATCCGCGGCGCATATAACCTCGTCCGGATACGTGAGGGGGCGAATGGAAGACGGCTTTCATGACAGCCAAAGGTCACTATGAATACTTTCTCATGCCTTATGGTCTAGCTAACGCCACCCTCCATATTCCAGGATTTAAGGCATGAAGTGCTCTGGGATTTCCTTCATCGCACAGTTGTCATCTACAATTACGATATTTTGATCTACTCCTGGAGCCTGTCCAAACATCACTATCACATTCCTCCAATGTCTCCCAAGAACATAATCTCTCCCTCAAAGCTGAGAAATGTTCCTTCCATCAACCCTCCATCCAGTTTCTTGGCTACAACATCAGTGAACACAGTATCCAGATGGATGAGGGGAAGGTGGACCTGGCCCATACCTACCACCATCTAAGAACTTGCTTCCTTGGATTTTCCGCCAGTTCATCCATAAGTACAGTTCCATCACGTCACCATTAACCAAACTACTCCGAAATAAGCCCAAGTCTCTGTCATGGACACAAGCAGCCAACCAAGCTTTCCAAAGCCTCAAAGATTCCTACACAATAGCACCGCTCCTCATCCATCCAGATCCCAACAAACCATTCGTTGTTGAGGTGGATGCGTCCACCACAGGGGTAGGAGCAGTGCTCTCTCAACAGTAGGGGAATCCAGCTTGTCTCCATCCATGCACCTTCTTTCCCAAACAACTCTCCCCGGCGGAGATAAACTACGACATCAGCAATCAGGAGCTTTTGGCCATTAAGCTCGCACTGGAGGAATGGAGACACTGGCTGGAGGGTGCCAAGGAAAAGTTTACTGTTCTCACGGATCATAAAAATCTTCAGTATCTCTGAGATGCCAAATGCCTCAATCCCAGACAGGCAAGGTGGGCTTTATTCTTCATCCGGTTCAACTTCAACATCTCATATCGTGTTGGTACAAAGAACCTCAAAGCAGATGCTGTCTCCGGTCTCTTCATCCTTGAAAAAAACACAGAGGTCCCTGAGCCCATCTTGCCTCAAAATATCCTCCTGAGTCTCATCACATGGTCCATCCATCAGAAACTTAGCTCCTCCAGTGTCTCCGAACCATCTCCGCCAGGGTGTCCACCTGGTCACATCTACATTCTTCGATCACAACAAAATAATCTCACGCGCTCTGCACATTCTTCTGTTGGTACCGGCCATCCAGGGGGCAAACGTACCCTTTCACTGCTACAAGATCACTTCTACCTTTCCAACATGGCCAGGGGTGTGAGAAGGGTCGTCCAGGGATGCCTAGACTGTGCAATTTCCAAGAGCCCACGCCATCTTCCATCCGGCAAAGTCCTTGGGGTGGACCACCAACACAATCACAGAGATCACTGTCACCTGGGTTTTATCACCCCGCACCTGCACGTCATCAGATCATCATCATAGTCTGCACAAAAGCATTCATCATCCACAGTCTCATTGTCTGGTCTCATTTCTAGAGTATAGACTCAAACCTATGCCCTCCTACCTGTGTATCTACCTACCTGTGTCATCCAATCCTCTCCATCGACTCCAGCGATCCGTCCATTCCTCACCACCAGCTCCAGCGACCTCTCCACTGCATCCACAACCCCTCTCATCATCTGTAAGGACTTTCTTGTCAGTATAATCATCATCTGCCATCCAATCTATATACCTTCTCATCTACCGTTATCACTTCTGTTTTAAATGTTTATTTCATCATCAACTTCTGTCTTGAGTCTCTGTTCCATAAAAGTTAAATTATAAACTATGTGCAAACTAGTTTCAATTAATTGTCAAGATTGACGTTCTATTGAAATTCAATAAAGTCACAATCTATTCTATTTTCTCTGGGCTTAACTGAGCTTATTTCTGTCATTGCTTTGCATAGGGGATTATCACGCTGATACGTAGTACTTCCGGATTCTGTGATCTTTGTGCACTGCCACTTTCGTTGAATCACTGATCTCACTGGCGAACTGATGAAGTTATAAATAAACACTAAGTTTATTTATAAGGCATCCCTGGTAAATTAGTCTGATTCACTAAAGTGCCGGCTTCAAACAAACGTGCTACCTTGTTTTATTTTAAAGTTTTAACCCTCAGGTGCTCTTTGGTCATTTCTGACCGAAACATTTTCTGTTTTGAAAGGTTCTCTGAGCGATCCTGGGTGTTGTTGACGTTCGGAATATTTGCTAGCTAGACCCTCCCTCCGCCGCATCTCATCTCCTCCCCCTCCCTTCCGTGCTTCCTGAAATAATTTTGAACGTGCATAGTTCTAGCTAATTATATCCTTGTGTGGGTTTGGCGAACATAAAGCGTCAATTTAGAAGAAAAAAAAACAATTTAATGTTACCCACCTGTCCAGCAAAAACAGAGCAACCTGAATGTCGGACTGGAAGCCCTTCTGCCGCCGGAGTTCTCGCCATCGTTCAAAAGCTTTGCTACCGATGTAAATTCGGAACTTCGCACACATTCTTTATCCGACTCCTTCTTCTTTTTAATTTGTTCTTCAGAACGACGTCTATTTGGTTGTGTGTCGGCCATTTTTCAAACTTCCCTCTGATGCTTCTATCTCCTTCACACACACACACCCCCTTCATGTGCACGTGCACTAACCCCCCAGACCCACCCTCAAATACTTCTTGCCAGTGATTGGCTGGAACACTGTTTGTTAGGTTTCGTGGTCCGGGTGAGACATGATTGTTTTTGTTGCCGTTTGTGGAGCCTGTGGTGTCTACAGAGACCGCGTTTTTTTACAGTGTGTTTAGGGGACAGGCAGCTAGCCGATAGTGAGGAGATGTTTGATGTATGTGACAAAAAATGTTTTGGCCCCCCATCGCTTAGAGAACCTTTTGAAAATGTAAAAATCACAGCTTCATCTGAATGTTACGAAACTTGGTGACTTTTATGGCATTGGGTATGTGAACACACAACAAAAATTGAGGTCATGATCCGAGCAGGCTAAGTGGTTGTATAAAAAATAGTCACACTTCTGCTCTTCGGTCAAAAATGACAGACCATAGGAAATGAATGGGAAATTGACAAAAACACAAAAACTTTCAGAATTTTTGTGTGTACAATCTACAAATCAGCCACGATGCAGAAAAAAAGTGCTCAGCATTGAAGGGGTGACACTCTAAAACATCAAGAGTGCAAAACAGACATACCCACCCCTACGCACACACATACACACACACTTTTATACACAAAAACACCAATAAATTGTGATTAAAGAAATCTGTTTTGAATATTTAAAAATCACAGCTTCTTCAGAAAATTACAAAACTTGGTGACTTTTATGGCATTGGGTATGTGAACACACAAAAAAAATTGAGGTCATGATTTGAGCAATTTAAGTGGTCGTAAAAAAATGAGTCACACTTTTGCTCTTCTGTCAAAAATGACAACCCATAGGAAATGAATGGGAAATTGACACAAAAAAAGAATTCTCTGAATTTTTGTATGTACAATCTACAAATCGGCCACAATTCTAAAAAAAAGTACACCGCAAGAAAGGGATGACACTCTACAACATCTAGAGTGCAAAACAGACACACCCACCAACACACACACACACACACACACATACAAACACACTTTTATACACATACACACCAATAAATTTTGATTACAAAAAGTATGTTTTGAATTTTTAAAAATCACAGCTTCATCGCGATGTTACGAAACTTGGTGACTTTTATGGCATTATGTATGTGAACACACAAAAAAATTGAGGTCATGATCTGAGCATGCTAAGTGGTCTTAAAAAAATAGTCACACTTGTGGTCTTTGGTCAAAAATGACCCCATAGGAAATGAATGGGAAATTGTAAAAAAAAAAAAAAATTGTGAATATTTGTTTTTTGTCATTTTTTTTTATAAGAAATAGTTTTTGAGATTGTTTCAACTATATATACAAATACACCAACAACAACAACAAAAATGTGTTCATAAACAGCTGGGGAATTCACATGCCTCTCAATAGAGAGCTGTACATGCCATCAAGTGGTTACACCATGATTCTACGCTTTTTCTCTATACTGTAACCAGATGGTGCTAATTTTCTTCAAAAAATATTTTTTTTCTGAAGGCCTAGACTCTATATTAAACTAAAATACTGCATTAATATTTTTTTGAAGAAAATAATATATATATAGAAAATAATATATATGTTTCTATGGCAAAAATAAACCATAAATGTTGCATAAATATTAAAAAATTCATTTAAATTGTCTCAAAATACTAAATTAATTAATTCGTCTACTTCTTGTTAACGGCTGCTCACCGCTTAGGAGTTTTACCGCCACCTACCGTATAAGATGATGTGCTGATATAGCTGGAAGCGCAAAACTTTCTGTTAACAAGCAGAGGAAGATGCGCGCTGTGCACTTAAAAGCCTTTAAAAGCCTTTAAAAAACGACAGTGTTCCTTATAATCCGGAGCGCCTTATATATGGATCATCATTTTATACGGTAGGTGGCGGTAAAACTCCTAAGCGGTGAGCAGCCGGTAACAAAAAGTAGACGAATGAGAACGTCCTCGTCTCAGTTCTCGCGCATGCGCCCATAAGGAAGTAATGGAATAGTGGAATAAAGTCGTTATTTATGTTTTTTTCGCACAAAAAGTAGTCTCGTCGCTTTATAAACTTATAATTGAGCCGCTGTAGGCACATGGAATATTTAAACCTTTTCTTTAATGACTTTATGGGCCGTCAAGAGCCAGTCCCTTAATATTTAAAGGGTTAGTTCACCCAAAAATGAAAATTAAGTCATTAATTACTCACCCCCATGCTGTACCAACCCCGTAAGACCTTTGTTCGTCTTCGGAACACAAATGAAGATATTTTTGATTAAATTTGAGAGCTGTATAACTACCACATAGGCTCCTAAAGGACTGCCTCTTGACGGCCCAGAAAGTCAATGAAGAAAATGTTTAAATATCCAAGTGACTACCGTGGCTCAACTATATGTTTATCAAGCGACGCGAATACTTTTTGTGCGAAAAAAACAAACAAATAACGAGTTTATTCGACTATTTCTATTCTTCCTTGTAGGCCAGAACGAGAATTCCTTAGATTTCCACGACGCATGCGCGAGAATTGCGATCTGAAGTAGTGTAAGCTGGCGTACGCAGATCGCAAATCTCGCGCATGCGTCGTGGAAATCTAAGGAAGTCTCGTTCTGGCCTACAAGGAAGAAAAGAAATAGTCGAATAAACTCGTTATTTTTGTTTGTTTTTTCGCACAAAAAGTATTCGCGTCGCTTGATAAACATATAGTTGAGCCACGGTAGTCACTTGGGATATTTAAACATTTTCTTCATTGACTTTCTGGGCCGTCAAGAGGCAGTCCTTTAGGAGCCAATGTGGTAGTTATACAGCTCTCAAATTTAATCAAAAATATCTTCATTTGTGTTCCGAAGACGAACGAAGGTCTTACGGGGTTGGTACAGCATGGGGGTGAGTAATTAATGACTTAATTTTCATTTTTGGGTGAACTAACCCTTTAAACCTTTTCTTTAATGACTTTATGGGCCGTCAAGAGCCAGTCCCTTAGGCAGTCTATCTAGGACTGATCTAGCTCTCAGATTCAATCAAAAATATCTTTATTTGTGTTCCGAAGATGAACGAAGGTCTTACGGGGTTGGAACAGCATGGGGGTGAGTAATTAATGACTTAATTTTCATTTTTGGGTGAACTAACCCTTTAACTTTAACAATTTTTTTTTATATCATCTTCACTATATGAGCAATAAAATACAATTACATAACCCTGTCTCTGTTTGATTGTCTCTGTTGTCAATAAAAATCAATGTTTCATATTTTTAAAATGAAAACAAAAAGATCATGTTCATTTTGTTATAAATATAAGCAGTGAAGAGAATCGCGTTGCCTGAACCACTGGCCATTAGGCTAATATTTAGTTGTTTTTTTGTTAATGAAAAGAGGCAGAGTGGTGTTTTATAACATATTTCGTTTTATTGTTGACGAAAAGATGCAGAGGTGTAGCAAATTTTGTTTTATTGTTGCTTAAAATATAAGCTAAATATAGAGATAACCGGAGTAGAGCGTACTGCTGAGTGACGCGATCAAGTACGCTCTGTTCCATTTGCAGAAGAACCGGACTTGCGTCCTCTCGTCCTCGGGAGTTCGTTCTTGGCAAGTCTGAACTACCAAGGACGCAAGTCCGAAGTCTGCGTACTTGGTATTGAGAAACGGCTAGGGACTGACAGGCCCCGCCCATCATGTATGTGGGCGGCTCACTTCAAAAGCTCTGTCTTGAGTTGTGGGCGGAGCGTCATGTGACGCTGACCAATCAGATGCCTCCTCTCCTCCGCGAGTCCACAGCGCCGCGCCCCAGTCTGTGAGACGCGCACCGACAGAAACAAACGGTTGCAGAAAGAAACAGTGGACACAGTCCCACTAACGGAGAAAAACATTAAGCTCCCCGCCTGTTCCCGAGTCGCTGTGGATTCCAGCCGCACATTAAAACCCCCAAATCGCGTAAGTTTGTTTTCTACTTTCCTTTCACTCTGGATTATTCTCCCTAGGGTTTTAGTCTCGCGGCCTCAGCGTTAGCGAGCGAGCTAACGTTAGTGGCGTTAACGCTCGCTTTCTGCAGGATAAAATCGTTCGTTGTATGTGTTCTGATATTTCTTGTGATTTAGAGATCACTTGAGCCTTTTCTGCCACAATCGGGACTCTCGGTAACGTTTATTATGTTGTAGAAAGAGGAGAGCGCAGTTGCGCGCGTGCACCGGACAGGGCCACTGCAACTCTGCACGCGCACAAATGAAAATAGTAAAAATCTTTGTCACTTTTAAAGTTGGACATATTTTGTGTTCTGCAAAATGTGGTAATCCTTGTTGCATGTATTTGACATTAGACAAACTGTCGATAGCGTATCTTGTTTCCATCGGTTTTAAAGTGATATTGGTTGTTTATCTACAATATTAATATACAAAATTCATGTTATATGATTTTTATTATTATTATTAAACATATTGTAAAATCAAAATGTGCACTTTCAACTCGGAAAGGACACCAAGTGGCTATCAGACAGTTATAGACCGTGATATATCATGAGTTAATCATATTATTATTATTATCATCACAAGGCGTCTTGTGTGTGTTTTTGTGCTGGTCACAGATTGGGCTCATGTTTGTGTCACTGGTGTTTCTGACAGTCTGTCAGTCAGAGAAAGAGAAAGACTGAATCATCTGTCTACTGGTTTGTAGCATAAGGGCATTGTAGATCTTTTTAGTAGATTATTGCTTGAATAAAACCGTGGCAATATCAATATGATACATAAGGCCAATAAGCAGTTAAGTTACTATTTTTCATTATCAAAACAATTATTCTGCCAATTAATGATGTTATTATGCTTTTTTGGGTGTGTAATAAAGCTGTTTGTGACCGTAAAATGTCTGCAAAGTTGTAAAGATAATAGTGCACAACAAATATAGTTATTGTCTTTTAAACGAGTCAGTAATTCCAGTCTCACTCATTACAAACCTGCATATATTTGTAATAATTTTGCACATAATGCAAGCCTATTGTTTTGATTGGCTGAACAGCGTCTCTTTGCTCCGCCCTCAAACACTAATGTATCTGAGACTGTTTGGTTCGTGTTGAGAAGATGCTGTTGTCTGCTGACAAAGCAAATCCACTTTGATGGGATTGATAGGCTACGGTAAAATCCACAACTCGTTACTGTTCGTATCACTGAGTATCCTTAGCCGAGATTAAGTTGTGATAATAGGCGTTTAGTTTCCAAAGTGCTCAGTAAGCGGTCGACAAATCATAACCGACCGAGCCATGTGACCAATCAGAGCAGATCAGCTCTCAGAAAGGCAGGGTTTAGAGAGACTGAATTTTCAAACAAATCGTTTCAGACAATGAGAAATGAGGTGATGTGCAAAAATACAATTGAAACGAAAGATTCAAAGAAATTAATGTGTTTTATGGCCTTGTATACATGATAAACCTGTTGTAGGACAAGAACCTTTAAAATAACATAATTTGTGCACTTTAATATAGAATGAGCGCTCACATGTGTGCGTTTACATATTACAATGTTTTTGATCGTGGCTTATTCAGTCAGGAGTTTATAGAGTTGAAGTGATCAGTTTTATCAGTTTTTATTTCAGAGCTTTTTCAATAATAGTGCGATGTTGAAACCCGAGATTGAGACGCTCATTCTCTCACCCGTGACCCTCTAGAGGGACAAAAATGTTTCTTATTTTCATCTCATGTTGTTTAACTTTTTCCCCTCTTCCTCTCCTCCCTTTTTGTTGCTCAAATTTTCATATGTGTAATGCTTGTTGCTTTAAACAGGAAGCAGTTTGTGTAGTGTGTGTGGCTGTTTGCTAAGCCTTTGTTTTGCATAGTATAAAAACTACATCTGCAGCAAAACATGGCTCTCTCCCAAAGCCTAAACCTCCATTGGCAGCTTTTTAAAGCACAATCAGACACAGGCTATTTGAAATGTTTGCAGAGTGATTATTCTGCTTTTTTGGGGCCAAATTCTTAGGCAGAATTGGATAGCCTACTTGAGAAAAAAAATCCCATTATGCATTGTGGCAAACTGTAAAATCCATCCATGGTGGACAAAGAGAAATGTTGATTATCAAAATACTTCAAAAATCATTCAATAACAAAAAAATATTACTTAAAGGGTTAGTTCACCCAAAAATGAAAATTCTGTCAGTATTTACTCACCCTCATGTTGTTCCAACCCCGTAAGACCTTCGTTCATCTTCGGGACACAAATTAAGATATTTAAGATATTAAGATCGCTCCTGCATATAGTCCATAGGCTTCTTGAGGGACTGGCTCTTGCTGTCCTCGAAAAGTCATTAAAGACATCGTTAAAATAGTCCAAGTGACTACAGTGGCTCAATCTTAAGTTTATCAAACGACGAGAACACTTTTGTGCGCAAAAAAACAACAAAAATAACGACTTTATTTCAACTATTCACTTCCTTCTCCATGAGCCTGTAAGTCAGTTAACGTAGTGTGATTGCGTAGAGCTACGTCACACGTAGGCTCACTATTGGCCAACGCTGGTCATGTGTGTGTGATGCGTGTGACGTACAATAACAGAAGCTTATGCTATTAAACTAGTAACCTGACTCGCGCAGAAACGAATAGTTGAAATAAAGTCGTTGTTTTTGTTGTTTTTTTGCGCACAAAAGTGTTCTCGTCGTTTGATAAACTTAAGATTGAGCCACTGTAGTCACTTGGACTATTTTAACGATGTCTTTAATGACTTTTCGAGGACAGCAAGAGCCAGTCCCTCAAGAAGCCTATGGACTATATGCAGGAGCGATCTTAATATCTTAAATATCTTAATTTGTGTCCCGAAGATGAACGAAGGTCTTACGGGGTTGGAACAACATGAGGGTGAGTAAATACTGACAGAATTTTCATTTTTGGGTGAACTAACCCTTTAAAGCAGATAAATAAAAGTGTAATAGCCTATATTGTCAATATATGTGTGAAGGATGTAGTCTATGTAGACAGCAAGGCATCTTATTAGTTACTGGAACAGAGCCCATATATGTTTATGATTGATAATTCTACGCTATATGGGCGATTTTTAATGTGTTTTGTTTCTAAACTGATTTTAGTGTTGTACAATATTTTATTAGACAAGGAGTTGTATTTTATTTTATCAGTCCAGTGGTGTTATTTGAAATATTTGCATCGCTTAAAGGGATAGTTCACTTTGAAATTCATTTTTGATATGTTTTAGCTTGCCTCAAGGGCATCCAAGATGTAGGTGTCTTTGTTTCCACAGTATTTTCAATTTTGACATTTTTTGGTCAAACCGTTGTTGTCTGTCAGTCATACACTGGAGGTGAAGGGGGTCCACAATCGGTTCACCTCAAAGAGCATGCACAGAGAAGTCAAAATTAAACACGATTTAATGACTCGTAAATGTAAGTACACATTGATGGCCTAAGACACGAAACGAGCGGTTTGTGTGAGAAAACGAACAGTATTTATATAGTTTTTACCTCTTGACTAGGGTTGGGTATCGAGAATCGAGTATCGATTGGAACCGGGACTAACTTTTAGTTTTTCCCGTAATCGTTCAAAAGTTAAAATTTCGATTCCTAGTTTCGATATTCACAGTCCGCCGAGCGGAAGAAGAAACCGCTGTCACCGAAGTTTTTACCTCTGTTAACAAGAGGTAAAAACGATATAAATACTGTTCATTTTCTCACACAAACCGCTCGTTTCGTGTCTTAGGCCATCAATGTGTACTTACATTTACGAGTCATTAAATCATGTTTAATTTTGACTTCTCTGTGCATGCTCTTTGAGGTGAACCGATGGAGGACCCTCTTAACCTCCAGTGTATGACTGACAGACAACAACGGTTTGACCAAAAAATGTCAAAATTGAAAATAGTGTGGAAACAAAGACACCTACATCTTGGATGCCCTTGAGGTAAGCTAAAACATATCAAAAATTAATTTCAAAGTGAACTATCCCTTTAAGGAATCATGTTTTTGTAGGGGTCCGTCTCTCAGTGTTTGGTGAATGTTAGGCATGTAGTTTATGTGCGGTATTCAGATCTACTGGCCCTCGGCCACATTTAGACCCATCGTGTGCCAGGAATAATGCAGACGATTAGTGCCATGGCATTCCTACACACATGCAAACACACCAAGTGATTTGTTTGAGGTGTTTAACAGCTGGTGTGTGGTTACCGTTTTCAGGCAAACTTTGTTAATGTACAGATTTCAGATAACATTTCATGGTAAGTTAGGGTAATTCCCAGCTCTCTTAAAATATATATAAATATGTATGATAAAAATAATAAACTCAGATTAATATTTTAGGTTAGGGATGCACGATGTATCAGGCAACCTATCGGTATTCGTCAGTGTTCATTTTTTTTTGATGTTATGTTATCGCCCCGATAAGAAAATTGCCTGATATATTAAAGCTGATGAATGATAGATGATTTCCTTCAGATGCGCACTGTTCAACATGATGGTTTTGAATTGCTTGAAATATGATTGGAATCACTTCAAAAAGGGAAATACAGTAAAGTGCAACATGTGCAGCACAAGACATCATTAAAAGTGTGTGCTTGGGCCATGGATTCTAATGGTGAGACATTTTGTAATCAGGCTCTCAAAAATGAAATAAAACTTTGGATTTAGATTTCTTGACCAATATAATGGTTTTCAAATAAAGAGTTTTTGGTAACTGCCAAAAATATGCATATCGGTGCATCCCTATTTCAGTTCTATTTATTTAAGTAGCAAGGTAACAATCATATAATCCTAATAGCACATTTTACCTTAATTGGCTCCAGTCTGAAGAGTTTGGGCTGGTGAATATTAAAGAATAAGCCTAAGCATTTAAGCATTGAAGTGTGGCTTGGGGCTGTGTAATGCTTGATTCTGATTTGCTGATGACCATTTTTAGGTTTGCAATTATAATTATTTCTTAGCAATTCTTTTGCAGCTAAGTTACAGCCTAC